TATACAAAGCTGCATTAAGGTAATATGCAATAATTTTCAATATTAATTTCAGGTAACTCTGGTTTAAATCATACAATTGCAAAATTATATGTTGAAAATATGTCAACAGTTCTCTCACTCATAACAGGATCTAGTTTAAACTTCTACTGATGTCATCCAAGAGGGAATTTGTAACATTTTTGTTTATCTGCCTTTTGGAGCTCTCAGGAGATTTAGACAAAGGTAGCACCACATAATCTACATACAAACACTGATCTAAAGACTCAAAAGAATTAGAAAAAGTAGATCTAAAAACAAAAGATGACTATTTACCATCATGTTTATAAATAAAAAGAAAATATTAGAAGTAAAAAAATTTTTATGGAGGATTTTTCATCCCCTCTGTCTGTGTTATGTACGTCTTCCAATTCTATATAAGGTGCGTAATGTTACATACTGTGAACACGTATAAAACAAACAGGAAAGATATAAAAAAGATGAGAAGAGGGGAGGGAGGGAAGGAAAGGAGATGCAAAAAGGAATTAGGATGTTTTATATACATTTCCAGCTCCACACAAGGAGTGTAAACATTATGTACTACAAACTTGTACTAATAAATAAATCAATGGGGGAAAAGAAATCTTATGGAGCAGACTAAGCTCCTAGCAAAAAGAATGTGAAAAGAAAGAGAAAAGCCATAGATATTTTACCAGCAATCCAGTCAACAGCTATCCCTTCCACTCTGCCCAAGCCATTGGTAATGATATCTTCTTTCCAAGTTTGATCTCTTTTAGCTCTACTGATTTTATTGAAGCCCATGTCAGTCCAATAGATGGTATCATTTTCTATGGATGAGACAGAGAAAACACACATGCACACAATATAAAAGGTATCAATATATGTGTTGGAATACATAGAAATAGTATTTGTAGAGTTATTCTAGGTAATGTACAGTATAAGTTTTCTTCAGAATAATTTATTAATATAAATGCTAAGAAAGATATTAAAATAACAGGAAAGACTTTTTGAAATATCTTAGGAAAGGGCCCATCATATTCTTTATTACTTTCCTGCATTTGAACTCAAGAAATTCTTATCCCCTATACAACTGCAACTGTGATATCGCACCATGTTATTATGGTTGAAAATTTTCACTTTGCCATTATGCCTGTGTCTGAGTTCTCCAAATATAAAAAGGATGATTGAGAATAATCAATAAAGTCTCAAAGGACAGAGGCAATGGTAAGACACATAAAGGTATTTCAACTCCACCAAGGGTATTTTAAGCATAAGGTCATTCAAAATGTATAAAGCCTTAAAAATGCCTTATCATCCAATTATTCCTTCTGAGATACCAAGCAATTTTCCAAATGTCAACTACAAACCTATTTTATTATTTTTAAAATTCTCATTTTACAAATGAGTTTAAGAATACTTGAAGAACTGCTCTATGCTATCATAGAGTCTTTAAATAACAGTACTTTTTGAACATTTGAATGAAAAATGTTACTGGAGGCTATAAATGAAATGGATTACATGTGCGTGCATATGCATAAAGGGTGGTAATTATAGACTGATGATTTTAAATACAGCCACCAGGAAGACACTGGGGACAAATCATTAAATAATAAATTTGCCACCAACTAAGTAAGTTTTTGTGTTGTGACCTACATGGCCATTTGAAGAACAAATCCTTTAAGACCAATATAATTTCCCTCTGGCACACTGACAGACTATGGAAAAAGAGCAAATGCAATTAGTATAATAAAGCCATTTATCAGAAAGTTTTGAGATTTGCTTTCGAATGAATTATATACTGTGAGCTTTTCAACCTGCTAGAGGAAAGACGGCAAATAGCCCCATTCTCAACAATGGCGAAGTCAGTGATACCATTGTTTGAAGCAGAGGAAAGATGCCAGAGCCATATACGTGGAGACCACAGATGGACCACACCTTTGGGGCTAGAGCAGTACCAGCTCTGAGAACACAGAGCTCCAGAGAAGAACCATGCAAACAGATTGCTGGGACTAGAGCAAGGCCAGTCCAGTAGATGTCCTCCTCAGCAAAACGCAGAAACCTCACACTTTCGACTCTGTCGTGTGCTTTCCACTTTTTACCATGTATAATAAATAAAGATGTAGACCATGCTGGGTTGTCGCCGCCTCTCTATTGGAGAGCTCAGGTCCCACTCAGTCCCAGCTTTCCTTTTACTATGTGTCTACAGTTTTTTCTTAATCTCCCATCACACCCTCACAGGAACACTGGCTGTGCAGATCGCGGCACATATATATACTGGGGAAGCAAGAAATAGTTTGATAGTTTGTAAAACCCTTAAGCTAATATTTTCATTTTTGAAACAGGGATTCAATCAACAAAAATAAGCATTAATTTTTCATAATATTCAGCATTATGTATTGAGTCCACCTTTCTTCTTCAAATCCTAAACCTGGGTCTCTAACTGTCTGCATTGCTTCTCTACCTGGGCAGAAAGGGACAGTCCCGATTTACAAAAGAAGAATTGTAGAAATATTTATTTACTATGTGTTAACTGAACACGGTTTCCTTACAGTCTTCTCCAGAGCGAGTCCTCTCATCAGAAACCTGTTACTTTCTCTTACTGGATTAATTCTATGGTAAAGTATTGCAATAGCCTCCTCATCACTTTGCCTAATTTTCATTTTTGCTGCTGTACTTCCTTTACTTTCCCTAAGTCTTTTGGAGAAAGATTGAGGGAGTACAATTACCTTTTTAAAAAGCAAGTAAGAACATTTCTGCCACCCTCCATTCTGACAGAATAATAGCGTCTGATCTCATTCAAGATGGAAAAGTACATCTGGTCACCTTAGCCTACACCTGAAATCACAGCACTCTGGGAGATTCAGGCAGGAGTATCACCAGTTTGAACTTAGCCTGGGAAAATTTATGAGAAGCTTGTTTCAAAAAAAAATGAAAGAAAGAGAGAAAAAAAGAGGGAGGGAGGATGAAAAGGAAAGAAAGACAGAAGGAAGGAAGGACAGAAGGAAGGAAGGAAGGAAGGAAGGAAGGAAGGAAGGAAGGAAGGAAGGAAGAAAGAAGGGAGGGAAGGAAGGAAGGAAGGAAGGAAGGAAGGAAGAAAGAAAGAAAGAAAGAAAGAAAGAAAGAAAGAAAGAAAGAAAGAAAGAAAGAAAGAAAGAAAGAGAAAGAAAACAAGGAAAAGAAGGAAGGGCTGAGGCTATAGCTCAGTGCGGTCACCCTGAGTTCAGCGGTTCAGTGCTTGGTACTGGAAAGAAAAGGAAAATGAAGGGAAAGAAAAGAAGAAACAAACTCTTCATTGCCATGACCTTCATGACCTCCTCACACTGTCTGGACCTCTCCCACCTGAAGAGGTCTACTCCTCCACTCTTCCCATCTACTTCTAATAAAACAGAACTTCCTGGTGATGGGTATAGCTCAGAGGCACAGCATCTGCCTGGTAAGCACAAGGTCCTGAATTTGACTCCTCATAAAAACTAACTAACTAAATAAATAAAAATAAATAAAACAGAACTTCCTATTCTTAATGTAAATCAAATCTTCTTCAGTCTAAGGATCTGTACGTATTATTTTTTGTTTCTGTCTGGAATTCTCCCTTGCTACAGCTTTCTTTTAGTGAAAATATGCTCTCCTTACGGAAACTTTGTCTATTCTATACAAATCATCCCCTTACCATGTTCTACTGCCTCCTACCAAACATCATTTTTATGCCACTTATCACTAGTAAACCCACCCTGTACTTATTGGTTTGCTTGTTTAACATTTATTTTATTTCACTAAATAATTTTGGTAAGAGTTGGGTCTTTATTTTGGTCTTTGTTTTATCCTTAACGTATACAATAGTGCCTGATGCATAGTAATCCCACAACATCTGGAGAATCAAAGAGTAACATGATATGTTGGTACAGACAGGAAAGAAGGCAGAAGGAGGACATAGGTAAACAGAGGAGAAAGCTTCTACCCCTTGCAAAGGAACCAATGGCATAGAAGAAACCACCGTCTGGAATTCTATAATTTGTAACTCTAAAGACACAAAATAAAAATATATCTAAAGATACAGAAAAAAGACTATCATAACTGTCATGAAACATACGTCAGCCTAGGAAAATGTTAACTTTACCTTCATAAGGCAGACACTAATACTTAGCATATGTTAAGAATTATGGAATCAAGGAATTTGTGCTCTGAGAGGAGGTTAAAAATAAGTTATATTAAGACATGGTAATTTGGTAATATATAATATAATTACAAGACTGGAAAATAAAATTTGTAGTTTAAGGCAATGACAATTATAATTACTTCCTGATAAGTATGACAAATAGATTCTTTTTAAACATGTTCAAGGATAACCAGGTGGAAAGGCTGGTAGCTAGCTCTTATATACTAGGATTAAAGTTAGAATTAAAAGAGACAAAGTCATATATTTTCACAATGATATTAATCTGTGAAACACAGATGAGACATTTTTGACAATGAGAAAAGTCAGAATTTCTGAGTTGAGGAAATGAAATGAGTTTCCCCTGGTTATTTAAAAACTGAAGGGCTAGCCAGCAAACACAAGTCTCAATAAGTCCTTTCATCATTACCTGCATACTTTTCACGATTAATTAACACTAAGTGACCACCTGTTGCGAGCACATCTGTTCCAAATTATCATAGTCTTCTGCATCATAAAACACTGAAAGGTGTACTTTCTGCCCTACATCGATGTGCTATTCCGGAAAACAACACATATTATGTGAAAATACACCAGATAAAAATATGATATATAGGTACCATGGCTTCTGGTACTCATGGACTACAGTGTGGAGTTCTTTATGGTACCCAACAGTCAGCATCCGCTCAGCTTGACTCAGGAGGCTAATTCTGAAGAGCGGAGACGTCTTGAAGACAGGACGTTTTGCTAACTTGTGCAGAGATGGACCTCAAGGCAAGACAAGAAAGCTCCCAAGGGGACAATCAGAAAGAAGTTAATTATTCAACCCAACTGTCACCATCCCTAGCCACCAAAAACAAACATCTGTGCTCAGCAGAACTCTGCCTTTGTTGTTCCTCAATAAATCTGGGGGTTTAAGTCAGTTCAGGGTTCCATCCAACTCTGTTGAAGTCCCCTGGCAAAGATATTCCCTGTCTCTTGTATCATCCTTCTTCTCTCTAACACAGTTTGCTGGCCTGAACTGGACACCAGTAAACATCAACCAGCACAGTAAGAGTATGGTGAAAGAGAGACCAATGTACCTAGGATTAGGTTATTATTTTGCAGTTTAATACAGAACTTTCACAAAATACTTTTTCTCTCTGGGTCTTATTTTCATAGTATATAAATGTGAATATAAGTATGTGTGTGTGTATGATTGCATGTGTGTGTGCATGTGTGTGTATGTCTGTGTGTGTATAAACTATGAGAAGATAAAATTTAGGTTACTTTAGGGCTTCCAAGTCTGATGTTTCAATGTTAAAATTTTTCACTTCCACATAAAAGGAATATAGCATCTCAAAATACAGTCCATTTTAGCTATTATAAAAATATTCTTTTCCTCTCTGCAATTTTTGCTCACTTTAACTAGCTCTGTCTTCTGGAGCTAAAAAGGATAAAGCATATGATTTCCCCTGGAATATAATAGTAATAGTTATTAAGTCCCATTTCTTTTTAAACAGCACCATTTTACATTTATCCTATTAAATGTCAGATGGTTAAATTTGATCAGGGATCCTGCCTGTTGACATTTTAAAAAATCATGTTATCCAATGAATCCTTTTAGTGATATCTGCACATTTAATAACTAAGTTGTCTTCTTTATTCAGGTCAATGGAAAGTGCATTAAATTAGATT